AAAGACTATGCAGGAAGTTGGTGGCCAACAGACTAAGCAGCTCTACCAACTTTATTTCAACTCGGATAAATCATCATCTGTCCTCTTCGCGAAGTACCCTCTACAAAGATGAGCTCTTTGTGGCTTTCGCGGGAGTACGCGGCCAACAGACTGCATGGACGCCCTTTCCAGTCGAGCCTTCCAAGGCTCGTGTGCGAACTAGTGACCTAAAGTCAGTAGCGCTGCCCCTGTAGGTCGAGCTCCTAGTAGCTTCTTGTAGGAGTGGGTAACTGACGTCACTGACAAGGCTAATGCAGCACAGCCGTAGCTCTAAGGTACCGAGCTGATAAAAGACCTCAGCACCACATAAGACCCAGTCGCCTCTTCGGCATGGGCAAAATTAAAGATCAAGGAGCGTGGACTACAAGTCACTCCTAGAGCATAAGGGCTAAAGTACCAAACTGGGAAAGACTTCAGCACCACCTAAGACATAGTCGCCCCTTCGGCATGGGCAAAATCGAGGGTAAGGAGAGTGGACAGCGAGTCGCTCCTAGAGCCTGAAGAATTGAATCGACGCTTACGGGCTCATCGAATTAGTCATTTCAGGCCAAAAGGAGCAATCTACGCAGATTTGGCCCTTCAAAGATATTGTGACACATGGCACCTCGGAACAATTAGGTGACACCCGGAACAACTTAGGCAACAACTTACCTTAGCCAAGTTGATGGTGTTCCACCTGGCTGCCTGGCACAAGCGCGACTTGGTGGCTTGGCACATGAGCCGACCTGGCAACCTGCGAGCTGTGCTCGCCTACAAATTCGGCATGCATATCCTAACACTCCTACGATCCTTGGAAGTTGGCCCACGTGCCGAACGATCCGGAGGGTGGTCAACGTGCATGAAGGTTGCCTCAGGGAATCTCGGACCACATAGAAGACTTCTCGGAAATCTCGGATGCGGTGCGTGAAGCCCACGCCAAACAATGCATATATAAAGGCACCAACCCCAATGGCATATGGGGGCAAGTAAGCATATTCTACCTCTCATTCTTTGTGATTTTTAGCTCGCAGTCTGCTATGAGAGTACTGACTTAAGCGTCAGAGCGACCTCGCCGGGTTAGTCACCCCGGGTCCTCTGACATTGATTCCTTGCAGGTCTCTAAAGAACTACGAAGCTCAACAATCAATCCAGCTCACCACCAGGCAGCTCGGCCCTCTGGTCAGCTCGGCAACTAACCTTCCTAGCTCAGCCCAGTTAATTCGGCACCTAATCTTCCCCCAGCTCGGCCTGGTCAGCTCGGCATCCAGGTCCTCATCCAGCAAAAGTTCACTTTGTCCTCTGAATCATCGGCTACTTGAAAACAAACCAAATGATGAGATACTTAACACAAAAAATTGATTCATCAGTTACCGTGTCATCGACTACTTGAAGCAGCTTCTTATACCCCAATCACATTTAAATACATAATTTCTATATTAACTTTATGCATACCAACAACTTTATTTTATTATTAGTCTAGCCATCTTGATAGGCCCAGCATGACATGGAAGAAAGTTGAAGACCTCAAGATGGAGCACTGTCATCTAGCTCTGGATTATGCTTCCGAAGTTCAATTATTTGAGGTACAAGGTTTCACTGTCTGCTTGTATTATTTTAGAAGACTTTGATTTCTAATTATAACAAATTTCTTGACAGAAAGGAGGAAAAGAAACTGAAGAGAAATATTACGTGAGTACGTCACAAGGCGATCTGAATACCCCCACCACCACGAACTTAAACTCTTCCACTATTTTCCATTTTGTGAAATATCAATGTCCATTGGCATTTTCTCCCTGGTTTGGCCAAAATGGACATGTCCAATCTTATTATTTTAGTGTTGCTTCCTAAACTCATCGGGTTCTCATATGGTTTTGTTGTGACCAAACATTTATTAAAGGGATTTCTGACCCTGAGAAACTCAAGTGTGAGGCAACTACATCTATATATTATATTATTTTGTTTTGTTTGAGATTCACTGTTTATATGATATATCTAATTTTAATTTCTTATATGATTTTAAAATGTTAATTTTGATTTAATATATGATTGACATTTAGAATTTGATGATTAGGTGAACTTGTCATTAGGGATGGCAATGGAGAGGGTTTGGGAGGGTTTTGTAATTTTTAGACCCTACCAACCTCCTAATTCATACCTGCTCCAAAACTGATAGCAGGTTGGATTTTGAGAATTCAAACTCTCCATGCACATGAAAACGCAAAATCATTCCCTCACTAAAGGGTAAGACAGATTAGGTTTAGAACCCACATCAAATTTCTTAGTATTTCTTATTGTATATAAGCAATAAATAAATAAAATAAGATGAATAACAAATTTTCTAATTATTTGATTAAAAATGTAAAAACACAAAAACAATCAATTTTCCATCTCATAAATTTAAAATATTATTAAATTTAACATTTAATAAATAAAATTTATATATTTTCTAACAATATGCGGGTCAATAAGGGTTGGACTTTGCCTAATACCATATCTGTATGGGTTATAAAATCTCAAAATCCATCCCCACTCCAAAACCTCTCCTTCAAGCAAAAAAAAAATAAAGCCCACCTCAACGAAATAGGTAGAGACAAATAACCATCGGGTAAGATAGAAATTGCCATCTCTATTTAAAACCTTTCTAACAAGATACTACAACTTCACATTAAGAATATCTCAGAGTGAATAACAAGGGAGATGTTCTTAATTTACGGCTGTAATAGCTTGGTGGAGGCTTGTCACATTGCAAGCATCCGTTGAATTGATATCATCATGGCCTTCTAAGAAAAAGACTCGTTCTTAAATATATAAAGAGACGGCTCGCTCACACCTTACTATACAAAACAGTATTTTCTGTGGTGAAGATAAGATACTATATATATATATATATAATAGGGTTACAAAATGATACAGGAAAAATTTACAGCCAATCAACGGGTATCATCAATCAATCAGAATCACGGGGTGCTTTGATTGACGAAGCTCTTCCAGTATTATCATGTCTGTCCGGTATTATAAATTTTTCCAATACTATAATAGCATTCATTAGAGAAAATCGCTCTTTCTAAAACAAAAAGATTGATGCAAGTGCTTCTGATTTCAGTTTATCAAAAAAAAGTCTTTTATATTTTATATTGTTTTAAGAAAATGTTGTTTTCCAAACGATTGGTGATCAGTTTATTAGAATCACAAAAATATTCACATTGAAAATGGATGTCACTTCACGATCTGGCATTGGTGTATAAAAGGGGGATTTTGACATCTTAAATATTTATAGATTTAAAGTGAAATTCAAAAATCTGTATTAGGCCTGTCTGTATTTTTTATAATAAATAATAATTTTTTTTTGAAAATGCGTAATAATAATAATAATAATATCACCAATCCCATGTGAAATTTATGATACGGATATAAGTTTTTCATTATGATAGACAAATCAGGGTAAATCTATGATGCGCCCATTCTGATCCGTCAATACCGTATCATTTCTTCATACGATACCATAAAGGCCACATTCCCATGAGACATTCATAGGTGGCCACGTCTCATTGACACTTGTCAACAACCGAGTGGTGTCTTCATCTGGCTTTGGACAACGTCAGCCAACCAATTTCGTACGCATTTCCAGAGAGTAGGAATTACAGCTGTTGGTGAAAACTGCCAGTCTGCTACGTGTTGGATGCAGGCTAGCCATCGTGTCAGCACTCAGCAGGAACATATCGAAACGGCCACCGTTGAAGAATCGTTAACGTGCCAGAGTTTTCTTGCGTTGCTGGCCGCTGGTTAAAAATTGGATTCACACGAATCCAAAACGTTCACACGTGCTTCCTACGGGTGTCGTTCTGTCGTAAATGCAAAAACCATAAAGTGACATTTGCGACACGTAGAAACGGTGCTAAGGTGGAACCGTGGAGGAAAGGGAGGACGGATACCGGATTTTAATTCAAAAACTGTGAATCTAGCAAAGAAGATAGAGTCTAGATGTGCTCCTCGCAGCACCGCACATCGGGAACATCTCTCGTAATTTGTATTGTTATTCAGTAGAGATGTTTTCAATATGCGATTGGATAGGACTGTGAATCCAAAACGTTCACACGTGCTTCCTGCGGGTGTCGTCCTGTCGTAAATGCAAAAACCATAAGGTGACATTTGCGACACGTAGAAATGGTGCTAAGGTGGAACCGTGGAGGAAAGGGAGGACGGATACCAGATTTTAATTCAAAAACTGTGAATCTAGCAAAGAAGATAGAGTCTAGATGTGCTCCTCGCAGCACTGTACATCGGGAACATCTCTCGTAATTTGTATTGTTATTCAGTAGAGATGTTTTCAATATGCGATTGGATAGGACTGTGAGGTCGATACGAGGTGCGCACCGTAAGGAGCAAGCAAGATAGCGCTCTCCAACTCCGCTAGTCACCACCATAAGAAGCGACAAGTGGTGCCAACTCCCAACTGACACCAATTCGTTGAATGTCTGGCCAAGATGGAATAGCACGGATGAACCCCGAACCAACGTTTGTTTGGGAATTGCCCATGGTAATGGTAGTGGTAGGTCACGTGGGACTAGGTTTTCCAGGGCCCAGCAAGCCAGGAATGGGACTGAGTGACCAGACCAGATTACTGAACAACAACCGCTTACGAGCTACGAGGTGGAAGGAACGATTGGGGATAGGCTGGGTAAAGGTGCATGGAGTTGTGGATTGGAATATTGGATTACTGAGCCCAGTCAAGTGGTCTGGGCGGGCGGGCCGTGCAGTGCAGTTTTGGTCATTTACTTACTGGCTGGTATTACTAATGAAGTAGAGAACGCCCCGGGAAATTAAACTGTGAGACGGCAAGGCAAATTAAGCTACGTTAAAAAGGGTAAAAAGTGAGAGGTGTTGGACTGTTGGCCAGAAATGCGGTGAAGCATGTCTGAATATATATATATATATATATATATATATATATATGTATATTGGTATTCCGACTATTCCCTCCCTCCTCTTCCTCTATATAAAGGAGTTAGGAGGCCCATCCTTCCCCCCAACCTCATCATAACCCTTCCTTCCTTCACTCATCACCATCATCATTCATCAATTAAGTGTTGGCCACTACCTAGCTCTAGCTCTTCCTCCACCACCACCACCATTCCTATATACTATGCAACTTTCCTTACCACTCACTACTAAAAACACTCTTTCCCTTGTTCTTCTCCTCGTATCTCTCCTTTGGTTCTTCTTTTTGTACCTCTTTCAATGGCGTCAATCCAGATACAAACATCTACCACCTGGTTCCATGGGTTGGCCTTACATAGGAGAAACGCTCATGCTTTACAGTCAAAACCCAAATACCTTCTTCTCCAAGAGGCAGAAATGGTAAATGAGATTCAATAACCAGCTAGCCTCTAAACATCACGTTTTCGTCCCCTCTGTTTCTCGTTTTCAGATTTTATTTTAATGTTAATATTTACTGTCTTCTTCGAGGACTTTCTTTTCCTCACCGCGCGATCGAGGACCGTTTAGAGAATGTCGTCTGTTTTGTTTATTCCATGTTTCCTTAATGTATTGTAGGTACGGTGACATATTTAAGACCCACATATTAGGATGTCCTTGTGTGATGATCTCAAGCCCCGAAGCAGCGAAGGCTGTACTAGTGACTCGAGCCCATTTGTTTAAGCCAACGTATCCACCAAGCAAGGAGAAGATGATAGGACCTGAGGCTCTATTCTTCCATCAAGGAGACTATCATTCTAAGATAAAGAAGTTGGTCCAATCCTCCTTTCTTCCATCTGCCTTAAGAGGATCTGTCTCTGATGTCGAGCGGATTGTGCTTAAACTTCTTCCTTCTTGGGAGAACAAAACTGTCAACACACTACAAGAGATGAAGAAGGTAATTTGGTCTTCAAATTAATTACAGAGACTCATCTTCTAAAACCACTTGTTTTTCTTTTCCTCACTATCTAGTAGCTACAACTGTAAAGAGAGAACGGCCTTAACTATTATTCTTCTTCATTCTTCTAGTTTGCTTTTGATGTGGCAATACTTTCGGCATTTGGTGGCGGTTGGGAGGTCGAGACTGAGCAGATAAAAAATCTGTATCATTGCTTGGAGAAAGGCTACAATTCCATGCCTTTCAGCCTCCCCGGAACTCCATTTAGCAAAGCAATAAAGGTAATTACGGTGGGCCTCTCACCCCTGTCTTCGAACGGTACTTGTACAAGAACTGACAAGGCGCAGTTTCACCCAAACTTGGGATTTATTTTGTTTCACTTAAGAAAATTATTACTCTTATGCTATGTTTGGTTTGAAGGAAAAGTTAGGGAAAGATGGGGAAACCTATACAAGGTTTTGTAAACGTTTCCCTTCCTTTCCCTACTTTTTCCTTCAAACCAAATAGGGTTTAAGGGTCAATGTGGGCTGTTTAAGTACCACATTACATCGAACAGCTAGAACAAAACTAAAGACTTAAATGATGTAGTGTTTTAATTATTGGATGACTAAACACAGGCAAGGAAGCTTCTCAACGACACTCTGAAGAGAGTGATAGAGAAGAGAAGGGAAAGCAACAAGCAAGGTGGGGGTTTATTGGGAGTGTTATTGGGATCTAAAGATGACAAATTGAATCATCTTAGCGACTCTCAAGTTGCCGATAATATAATTGGAGTAATATTTGCTGCTCACGACACAACTGCAAGTGTACTCACATGGGTGCTCAAGTACTTGCATGACAATGAAGAACTCCTAGAGGCTGTTACGGTAAAACATCTCTCTCCCCCCCCCCCTATCTTTCTCTCTCTCTCTCTTTAATTTTCTCACCTTTTACCATTTTTCCTAAAACTACGAGTTTTTAACTCTCATTTGGGTTATCGTGAAGAGAAAACAAGGAATTAGATATAGCTTTCATTCTCTCTCTCTGTCTTTATTATATAGAAGAAAGATTTATACCGATCGAAAATGAGATGATTAATATATGCAGAAGGAACAAGAAGGAATTCGACGAAGAATAATCGAAGGGAATCGTAGACTGACGTGGGGTGATACGAGAAAGATGCAGTTAACTAGCCGGGTAATCCCAATAGAAAGATCTAATGGTTATTTCAATATTCTCGATGAAAAATATATTCATAATAAAAAATCTCCCACAAACACATTATTATCAAATAAACAAGTAGGCAGGAATTTAATTAACTAAGAAGAAGTGATTTCAGGTGATTCAAGAGACTCTAAGAAGAGCGAGTATCTTGTCATTCACGTTCAGAGAAGCCGTTGAAGACGTAGAGTTTGGAGAGTATTTAATCCCCAAAGGATGGAAGGTTCTTCCTCTATTCAGAAGCATTCATCACTGTGCAGATTTTTTTCCTCAGCCAGAAAAATTTGATCCTTCAAGATTTGAGGTGAAGTAGCAAACCATATCCTAGATCTCTCTCTCTCTCTCTCTTAGAAACAACACACAGATATTCTTGTTCAGAGTCCAGCAGGATTAGATTCTTCAAACTGGGTGGCGTGTTGTACAGTGCATAGTGATGGGCAAAACAAAAAATAGATTATCTGGAATCAGTCGTCCTGTTTTTACTGGATAAGCAATGAAAAATCGATTATCTGGGTGTCCCCCATTTGTTCTTCTTTTATTTATTAATTTTTTCTGATAATGAAATGTCTGAACAGGAAGTAGTCGATCAGATCACGTGACGTGCTTCTGAATGTTACACATCACACTTTGTACAAGTTTCTTTGGAATTATCATCAATCACTGGTTCACATCATGTTTCAGTCTAATGATCTGTCTATCAATGTATTGACTTTTATGCCATGTAGGGAACCAAAGAAAAAGTTTTCCAAAATTTGGGATTCAAATATTTTGTGATGGTGCAGGTGCCACCCAAACCTAATACGTACATGCCATTCGGGAACGGTATCCACTCCTGTCCTGGCAGTGAGTTGGCCAAGCTTGAAATGCTCGTCCTCCTCCACCACCTCACCACCACGTACAGGTCGGGCTCTCTCTCTCTCTCTGGAATCTTTTTGAGTTAAGAAGACCAAGAGTCAAAGTCAAAAATAGAGATGGGAGATCAGAATCTAAGGGCTACTTTCAGTTCTATTAGAAACGTAGCACACATGCACGGAGCCAACAAGTGTCACCTCGTATAGGATAAAAGTATTGTCGCCTTGCCTACGTGGCAAGATATTTAGGGGGTTTGGGGAAAATCTCTAATTTTTCTTTTAAATGATAAGGATTACTTTTTTGTGTGTGTATATATCCTTGATGACTTTAAGGAATTTTGGACTAAGTAGGGGGACCCACTAGATATGGGAGGATATCAGGATTCCATTGTCGTCAGCATCGACGACATCGAGTGCACACAAAAATTGACAATAACGATTACATACATATCAAATCACGTCCTTTTTGAAAGAGTTGGGGAAAAAGGATGGTCGGGAGGAAGAAACCTCATCTCAGGACTCAGGCCAAAACTGAAGAAGAGGCGCACTGTGCAGGGCAGCTGTTAGCGTGACACGTGTCCACAGGAGCCCAATCCATAAGTAATCCTATCGGGAGGTGTCAGGGCACAATCGCCAGCTGTTTGGGAAAGGAAATATGTGATGATGCATAATGCATCAGTGAGTGAGTACCACGGTTTTTCTTTGCGCCTCTCATGCCACATCACTTCTCGTTTTCTCTCTCTTTGGTTGGGACCCACACCCTCCATGCCCCCCAAATAGTCGTCTAACTGTTGGCATCATCAGAAGAAGATAGAGATTTAGACCTATTAAGTTGCCACTTGTTGACTGACTTCTGATGCGAAAAATTTTCAGGTGGAAGGTTGCCGGAGAAGACGATGAAGGAATTCAATACGGTCCCTTCCCTGTGCCGAAAGGAGGATTGCCTATAAGGGTAAACTCCATCAACGCCAATGTGATGGACTGATGGATCATCCTAATTCCAATGCATAGAAAGAGCGAGGCATGATGGGTCTCGACGTCGACTATGGTCCGATCTCCGATAGGTGTCACCGGGCACAGGTTAGCGGCGGGAGGCCGGCCAACTAATGCCAACCCCGCCCATTGATTCATTATTCTGGGTTTTTTTTTTTCTATTTCATTTATATGTGGGGGTGTGTGTTTCTTTGCAAACTAGAGATGTGTGTGGTGTGTAGTTGTGCAGTGTATGCGGACAAACAATGAATGAAAGAAACAAAAGAAATTGTAAATTATTTTTGCAAGCGTGCTTCGCAAAATAAGAAGTTTAATCGCGGCTTTCTTCCTCTTCTTCAAGATCAAATGTGTGTGGTGTTAAATGTGGAAAAAGTAGCTCTCAATGTCCTTAGATTTCTATCTCGATCATATTTTCTTTTTTCTCTTCTCTTTTTATCTTCAAAGAAGAAAAAGGAGAGCAATATTCGTGTAATAACAAGTATTGATGAGGAGGGAATACCAATGAAGAGCAGGAAGATCTGAGATAGTAAAGGACGACTACTGGACGAGCGTGCAATAAGTTGCATGGAGACACTCTGTGCATAATGTAACGTACGAAGAAGAAGAAGACGCAGGTAATGAAGATTAAAGGGTATCTATCTTACAGAGTCCTTGTGTGGAACAGAGCCGAAGTATCAAGTATGTTTTACTGTCTGCATCCCGTGATTGGCTTTATGGGGGTTGATTGCAAGTTTATCATGAGTAGTTCTATAATATTATTCTTAGTGTCTGAATATTTTTTGAGGGTCTGGGTTAACTGTACATACCTACACAGAGCCGAAGTATCAAAGTATGTTCTACTGTCTGCATCCCGTGATTGGCTTTATGGACCCAGGGACCACGCTTCACAGGGGTTTCAACTTTCAAACTATCAAATTTTTTCCTTTTTAATTTTCCAAGTAGCGACAGATTCGATGAACGCGCTCTCCGTTGCGTGTCTAGTAACCACTGGTTCGAGAATTTTTTCCATCATCCATGCAAGGAGTAGTTATATCTTATATGGAGTGGGGACTAGTTTTCGCGAAAGAACTGTGGCTTTTAAGAGTAAACCCGTTCAGTTCAACAAGTTATGGAGAGTGGAGACTGGGACGAATGTACCTAGAGATAAAACGTGGATAAGACCGTAATTCAGAATACGTAATATATGGAAGAGACAACCTTATTATGAAAAGTCGGTCCACAAATTTGACTCCAAAACCAAATCTGTATATGTTTGGTTCGAATAAGCCTTTTCTACTTTTCTCCACCTGGAATACTAAACTGACCAAAACTCTTTCTCCTAAGTATCAAGTTCATAGACAAAACGGACAAGACTTTTGCACTGAAGGATTAAGGAATATCTATATGATGATGATGATGATGATGGGAGATTATTATTCGCCTCAATTGCATTTCTAGATGAGGTGTCATTTATTCACATTTTTCCTTTCTAATAAGTTTGATGAGTTAATTGGTTTTCAGTGGCTTCATTAGGAAAGACTGGCTGATGGTTTTGTTGGTATTCTCTTTTTCTCTCTCCTTTGTAGAGATGTCTTTGGTTCTGGTTTTCTTGGTATAGGCCTCTTTTTATGTTGGTCCGAATTTCCTCTTTGGGTTGTAATGGTGTGTTTGGTGTTGGCATTTAGGGTCTTTTTGGTTGTGATCATTTGGATCTTCTTTCTCTCTTTTTTTTCATGTACTAATTTTTTATTTTACTACATAAAGAAATCTTTTTAAGAAAACCAATTTCAATAGTTAACCTTCCTTAGCTCAGTTTGGGAAGAGTATTGATATAGGTGCAGTGGCGCATGTTGCAAGGGCTAGGATGGTGCCATGTGGCATCGGTCGGATGCAGTCCTGGCCGCCCATTGCTAACCACCTCTAATTACTCCCAAGGCAAGGTCAAGTATAAATAGGGGTGCTCTTCAAGTAAAACTATCTTGCTCACTCTTGCTCTCCTACTTATTAGTTCTGGAGGGACCTTGTATGAATCCTAATGTCAGGCCTCGTCTGACCCCTCTCATATATCTGACTAACTTGACTGTTGTAGTCTCCGCCCCTACGATAACACCTAAGGCTTATGACGTATGGTCTCATACTCTAAGGTTGGATACATTGGCCTCAGCTAAAAGGAAACAGATTTATCTTATTGCCCTCAGCCCCATCCTTGACAGCAACAAATATAAATACAATTTGCACTTTATATATGTATTTGTACTCTTCCCAAACTGAGCCTAAGACATCCTTTACAAAGAGATTATGAACAATTCTATGGTTAAAAAAAAAAAAACAATTTTCACAATACCAACACCACTACATAATGCACTTTAGACTATAAAAAATTGGGATTTGCTCCTGACATGATACACCTCACACCAACATCACAGCAGATCCCACCATGTATTAGGAACATTTCCACATGATTAAAAACACACAAATATAAGAGATATTACCGAAGTACAACTGGAATGTATTGTAAATTTATGTGAGGAGCACTCTATGAGGATCATCAGATCCAGACTTGCCTATAAATACTATTCTCAAAGAATTGTTCAACCTAAAAGCTCAAGGATTCTCGGAATAATATTTTTTCGGGACATTACACCGTGGGAAAACTATTTTACATTCAATGCGTCATGGTCCAAAAGGTTAGGGAGTAAGGCTTGACGTGTTTCAATAATCAAAGTTTTTTGGCATATATGGTCAAGCACGTAACTATAGGAATCAGAGCCTAAACCCCTGCCGAAAGTTTGAATCGTCAAGAGGATTAAGTTGTAAGGACTACATATCCGTATCAGATTGAAACTGCGAAAGCGCTAAAGAATGGAATATTTGCGGCCAGAATGAGAGCTGCCCAAATTGAGATTTGCTGTCCTGCTGGGACTGCAAAAGCATGGTTCTAACAGTCTTCTTAAGGTGCTTGCTGCCCAATGCAGATTTTTGAATCTCACTGTAGAGTTATAAATTAACATTCAAAATATCAAAAACCCACATTCTATACACCAATGCTCGTCTGTAAATTGGCATCAATTCTGATTTAGCATCCATCACAACTGTATTTTGAGCTTAAAAATTCTGACCCTGGGCTGAACCGTCATTCTCCCTATAACATTACTGTTGTTTATGAACACAAAGGTGCAAAGTTTTACCTTTTTAGCATATACGTAATGCAATAAAAAGCCTGATCTAAACAATTTGGATAAGACAAGGATTAAAGTATGGGTATAGGGTATTGTTTCGGAGCACTCAGATACGGATACAAATATAGATACGCTTTGGAAACGCATGAATACGGACGAAAAAATATGGATACGCCAAAAAATGCATATAAATTCCATAAACATATTAATAACATTATTTTTAAGATCAAAATAGCCATAATTAATGTATAGATACATAGAAAATATATATTGTAAAAGTATATGTGAAGAAATGATGCATAGAAGTCATAAAATTTTATTGATATTGTACCAATCAAGAATCCTGGAACATATATATATATATATTAAAAATTAATACATGCACAAACTATTATTATGTTATTTTTTATTGAATTTCAAGGCAAAAAACTTATGCAACTATTATATGTGAATTATTACGTCGATTATTTCCTATTTTACTATTTTTAATTTTTAATATTAACTAAAAAATAATTCTCAAATGTTTAGTTAACAATATTTTTAACTTTGTACACAATAAAAACGTTATTATAAAACTTAATTAAAATATAAATTAAAAATTTATAATAATATATAATATTAACTTAAAATATATCAAATATATTAAATTTTCTAATATACACATCATATGCAAATTCATAATTTTTAACTATTAAAATAATTATTCCATTATTAATAATATTGTTTTCATAAATTTTGAGATAAAAAAATCATTTTTTGATATAAATGTAAATTAATGGATTTGACAAATTCAATTTATATTATATTCTCAAGGTTTTTGTAAATAATATTTTTATTTATAAATAATATATATATACTTTTATTTAGTTCACATTAAAACATTAATTAATAATTTATAAAATGTTAAGATACATGTCATGTTAAAATTTATAAATATTAAGTACCAAAATAATTATTCTATTATTAATATCTTTTTTTGTATAAATTTCATGAGATTAAACAATTTTTTATATAAATGTGGATTTAAGAAATTATTTATACTATTAATTTATAAAATATTAGTTTTGAATAATATTTTTTTCTATTTTTCTGGAATTGTTAAACATAAATATATATTTTTTGTATTACATTTGGACACTAGAATATAAAGAATTTATTTTATTTTATTGTATTATACAAGATTAAAGGTGGCTTAATGGTTTATGCGCGCATTTGAGGTTTGGCATTGGGTGGTTTGTGTTCAAATCATGCCCGGCGCACCCTTTTGAAAATAAACACGCGCGCGCAGAAAACGCCGATCTGTATTGGTGCGCATTGCTTACCTCAAAGTTGGAAATCAATTTGCCTTTGTTTGAGAGGTAGTTTCAACTTTAGGGCCAAAACTTTCAAACGTGCCGCTTAATTACCTGAACTTTCAGAAATGTACATTTTAAGTTCAACTCGGTTCAACTAACATTATGGTGAGGGCTAAAGCAATGAAAATACTCATATTTTAATTCTCTTTTTTCACTATTCATATTCTTCTACCTTTGAATTTGAATTGGAGGCAAACCAGTCGCGACAAAAGTATAGTCCAAGAACACCATTCTTCTACCTTTCAATATTTAACATGGGCCAGGTAGAAGTACGTGATTTTTCTCAATATTTAACGAAATAAACAACTTTGCTCTCCAATTTCCTGACCCCATTTGTAATAGAATCTGACCATGGTGCCGAAAAGATATGGAACCTAGAAAATTAATAACCAATCAATTGGTTTCATCCGAATGGTTAGCAATCAACCAAAGTTGGAAGTTTGATGAACAGTATAAATATATTAGATAGATAGATATAAATAGGGTTAATTAATAAGATAAAATTAAAAACATTGAATGAAGTATGATAAAAGCCAAATTTGTCTATTTCAAAGACAATAAATGGTGTTCTTGGACTACCTTGCTTCATTATTCAAACAGAAATAATGCCTGAAGGAGCCCTGCACCCAAATAAATCCTTTATATGATCATGTCCTACTGAATATGAAGCAAGTTTTGGCAAGTGACGAGCTTTTGATTTTAGCGACACATCTGGAGTTGTAACATTTTACAACAAACAGATCCTTAATTAGCAGAGACCGCGTCCTGTGCATCTGACGAGTGCACTCACCAATCACGTTCAGCCACGTCGAACGAGTG